AAAATCATTCAACCAAACGGAGAAATTCGATTTTTCTTGCTACCTTCTTAACAAGGCAGTAAAAGCACTTCTCGCCGTGACTCTGAAAATGCAATGATAAATGTGGCTACGAAGCAATGTCCAAAAGCTGTTATGGTATTCTGGGAATGATTTTCAACGGATGGCTCTCGGGTTCTGGGCTTTAAGCTTCGCTGATTTTCAACGTCTGTCTAGGTCTATTCCAATGGCTGATGGCTTTTTGCGGAATACTTTTGCGTCATTCTTGGACTTTCAGCTCTTTTGGATGCGTTGGAATTATTCATCTTCTGGTGAGAATTTTCTGAATTTGAAAACGAGCTAAAGGGGCACTCCTTCAGCTCTTTAAACGCTTCAGTGCCAACATTTCATCAGGGCGAAACTGCTTTAGTAAACAATGGCTTCAACCGCCACATTTCTCGCAAATTAACGATGCCACCTAGTAGATGAAACTGATGGTGTCGTTAATTTGCATTGCTTACGAAAAGCAGCTTCGCCCTTTTGAAATGATGGCACTGATTTCAACGAAAAAGATAAACCATTCTTGTCGCTAAATAGCGGAGATTGATAAATTATCCACCCTAGAATAAAACAAAAATTGAGTTGCCGCACGTGTCGCATGGCACGTAGATCCTTCATCTACACTGGATATCACTCCCAAGGTGTTACTAAGTCTTCGAAGCAAAAATAAATGGCTCCACGGAGCCATTGTTTCTCGTTTTGAAATATGCTTCAATGATGATGATGATGATGATAATGATGGCAGAGGATTCTTGTCTCATGCAACACATTTCTACACGAGAAACCCGTGTCGATGGGAGCAAAAGGAAAGGTATCTTGGCAGTGAAGAGGCAAAGACAAATGGTACTAATAATCATAAACATAAAGTATTATACGGTAATAACTTACGGGGTAGGAACGTATGATACCTTCAGGCCCTCATATTCCTCAGCATCTGGGAGAAACTGCTTTCCTTTTCGAATGATTCGCCCACGCTTGAGCAAACAGAACCACGTTGTCATTCCACTAAATTGAACCCTCGATGATAGGAGTCTTGCTCGGTGGCTTTCAAAAACAACACCTACGAGCAAAAAAAAATGTGGTGGGCATTCAATGTAATGGTCGATTTCTTACATCCTCTCCATGTTTCTAAGAAACTGTAGCGTACAAGCAAGTTTTTCTAGAAAGAATATTTCGATACAAAACCTTTATGCCATGATTTTAAACATGGTTCCCTAGGAGACACGATTTTCAGCCAACAAGTCTAGAGCAACATTTGAAAATGGCTTATGTGCCAAATGTTTACACAATAGCTTAAACGTCGATTTTTCGTGGATTAAGATTCATTCAGGTAAACCAACAGTAGCGTCTGGTAGAGAAAGTTTAGTCTATCAGCTGGTGTAGTTAGCTGTGGTAGGCGTATTTTGATTCGTGAGCAATCGACGTAATTGCTTACATTCGGCACAGCTTAAGCAATATACACAACTTTTTGTCAGCCTCTCCGCGCATCAGAGTTTTATCTTTCAATAATTTCACTTACGCGGAATTCCAAATCTTTCCCACACGCTAACTTGAAAGTACCCATTAATGGATGAAAAAGACCCATTTTGAAGAAAAGTGGCTTAACTCATTAAATGAGTAAATTTTTTACCCATTAATGAGTATCTGTTACCCATTAATGAGTAATTGTTAATCATTAATGGGTAACAGATACTCATTAATGGGTAAAATTGTTTAATCATTAATGAGTTAAGCCACTTTTCTTCAAAATGGGTCTTTTTTTTTACTCATTAATGAGTACTTTCAAGTTAGCGTGCATTCATCTTCAAGATGAATGTTTCAGGTATACTTTGAAGCAATAAGACCACTGAAAAAGCGTATGGGTTTCCTAGAACTTAGCAAAGATTTTCGAAAAGAGGGCTAGTAAAATCGGGTCATTACTATATAGTATATTTCCTGAAACTCTTGTCTCCACGAAAGCTTAGTGAACGAAGGACCACCAGGGTACATGGTAAAGCTTTTCACAACCAAATTGCGGTAGCAGTTGAGGAAAATTCGTCAGAGTTTTACCGTGGCCCATAACTCAATGCAGGGGTAGAAACCGTCTTTATAAGAAACTAGAGTCCACATGATGCTCTCTTCCCGTATGGATCTATTTGCTTTTGGCTGAAGCAGGTGTTACTGCTACCTAAAGCTACATCAAATTGAAACAGCATTTCTCAGTGCTGAACATTATCAGCACATTGTCTACCTTTTCCGATCCGTATTCCTTTTCGATCCTTGTTTGGACCCTACCGGAGTTAATTCTGCGTGAACATCGATTTGGAAAATTTCTCTTCGATCCTTAGGATTCTTATAATTATATGCTTCGAAATCGTTTTGGAGAAAGTTTGTTCCGCCGCCATGGTGCCTAAACGCAAAAGTAAAGGGCGATCTCTTGATCCCCCGTCTGATGAAATTTATTTGAGCAATCATTCGGCAAAAAAATGTTTTAGAAAACTACACCGGATCGAATGGCAAGTCACGTGATAACTTAACGCGATGGGAGAGCAATGGACTAGCACAGAAACGAGTTATCGATTTGCTGGTAACTTATCAACTAAACTGTATTTCACCAATCGGTTACACTTCTTGTATGGATGAGCGAGATTGCGTGTATGATTGAGAGTGAGTGCTATTACGTGTATGTGCTATACAATTCAAGGTTAGTATGGTAAGTATTAACATTTAGGCACTACAGGTTTAATTTCACGTTATTTAGTTGATTTCAGATATCCAAGAAACTTGCGGCAAAATGCCAGCCCCCGTTGACAACGTCCAGTTTCAACAGGTATCTTGGTCCTTCGTTGTAGCTTCTTCGTCCTGATCGGTTGGAAGAACCGACACTTCAGTCACGGCTCGCTTGTAGCGGCCGCCAGTAGCCTTCACGATGACCACCCAAATTCGGCCGTCCTTGCCCGGTATGGTCTCGACGATACGCCCCAAAAGCCAGTGGAGTTGTGGCGTATTACCCTCCAAAAGGACTAGTTCACCTGGTTGTAGATCGGTTTGTTGCTTCCTCCACTTTGTCCGTTGGTGAAGCTGGCTCACATAGTCACGTGATCAACAAGTCCAAAGGACCTGTAACGTTTTCGTCATATCCTATAGGCGACTCAGCCATCCAGGATGGATGTGGCTCAAATCTGGTTCCGGGATTGCGACGAGTGGTTCTTACTTACTTAACGATCCTAAGCACCTCCAGGGGTGCAAAGGGCCTTTGTGAAAGATTTCCATCCTGGGCGCTTACTAGCTTTGGCCTTGACCTGTGCCCAAGTCAAATTTCGGTAAACTTTCTTAATTTCACTGTTTAGGCTTCGCCGCCACGAGCCTCTGGGTCTGCCTCTGCTGCGATGTCCTCCAGTCCAGTGCTTGCTTGCAGATTTCGTTTCCGCTCCGTCGTAGTGTGTGGCCGACCCACCTTCACTTCCGTTCACGAATTTCTGTCTCTATCGGCTTCTGATGGCACAAACGATGAAGCTCTGAATTTGAGATCCAATTGTGGGGTCACCAGGCACGAATTATGTACCGCAGGCATCGGTTGATAAATACCTGCCGCTTCTGAGTGTTCTCCGCTGATACACACCATGTTTCACTGGCGTATAACAGCACAGACTTCACGTTCGAGTTAAAAATTCGGATTTTGGTGCGTCGACTGATCTGATTCGCTCTCCATACATTTCGCAAACTGGCAAAAACAGCCCTCGCCTTCTTAATCCGTGCACCTATGTCGCTCTTGGTGCTGCCGTCCGACGCTATCTGGCTGACAAGATATTGGAAGCTTTCGACTTTCTCCACTGCCTGCCCAGCTACCGTGAAATTGGAACGGTTTTCCGTGTTGACATCCAACGATTTGGTCTTGTTGACGTTGATGGTTAGACCTGCTTTAGAGGAGCGTTCCACCAGGTCGTCGAGCTTACTCTGCATGTCAGAGCGCCGTTGTGCTAATAACGCAACATAATCAGCCAAATCGAAGTCGTTGAGATGCTCCATAGTAATAGGCTGCGACAGCAACCCACGGTCCGGTACACAGTCAACGGCTCCAACCATGATCTCTTCGATTACGATGAGGAACAGTAGCGGTGATAATATACATCCTTGCCTCACACCCGCGAGAACAGGAATCGGATCAGACAAAGCTCCGTTGTGCAACATTCTGCATGAGAAAGCCTCGTACTGCGCTTCGATGAGGTTGACAATCTTATCAGGGACTCCTTTGCGACTCAGAGCGCCCCACAAGTTTTCGTTGTTTAGTCGGTCGAAAGCTTTTTCATAGTCAATGAATACCAAGTACAGGGACTCTTGGAACTCATTTACCTGCTCCAATATGATGCGGAGCGTGACAATATGGTCCACACATGATCTTCCAGCACGGAATCGTGCCTGCTGTCGTCGGAGAGTCGCGTTGATCTTCTCCTGTATCCGATTGAGGGTAACTTTACACAGAACTTTGAGAACAATACACAGTAACATGATGCCTCGCCAGTTGTCGCATACAGTTGGATCCCCCTTCTTGGGGACTTTGACCAAGACGCACTGCATCCAGTCGGCCGGAAATGTTGCGGTGTCCCAGGTATTGACGAATAGTTGATGCAACATTTGTGAGGATAGCATGGGGTCAGCTTTGAGCATCTCTGCTGATATTCGATCGACCCCCGGGGCTTTGTTGCACTTCATACTTCGGATGGCTGCTTCTATCTCCTGCAATGATGGAGCTTCAGTGTTGACGCGAGTAACGTGCCTCACCCTTGGCGGATCATGAAACTTCGAGAAGTTGTTCAAAGTGCTCAAACCAGCGTTTCAACTGGTCAGTGGGGTGGGTGAGCAACTGTCCAGTCGTGTCTTTTACAGGCATCCTTGTGTTAATCCTTGCCCCGCTCAGGCGTCAGGAAACATCATAGAGGAGGCGGATATCGTCAGTGGTTCCCCGAACAGGAAATGTCCTGGCGTCAGAGCCGCCAGATCATCGGGAGAATCAGTGAGTGGCGACAGGGGCGGGAATTGAGCACTGCTTCAACTTGCGTGACGACGGTATGAAGGTGATCCACCGAGAATGATTTCAGTCCCATGATGCGACGGAAATGGTATTTGAATGGTTTGATTCCCGCCTCCCAAATGCCACCGAAGTGTGGCGAACGGGCGGGGATGAACTGGAACTTGATCCCGTTGTCCAAGCAATGGTTTCGCACTTGAAATGCGACGAAAGCGGTCGCATTATTGCAATGTAGCTCCACTATACGTCCGTGCCACGCGACGATACGCTTCACGGCGTTGATACACGACGCGGCGGATATATCGGTGACGATTTCGATGTGCACGGCCTTCACCACCAGACAGACGAAAAGCGAAACGTACATTTTGACCAACGCGCCCTTCCCATTGAGCGGACGAACGAGAAACGGCCCACAGTAATCCATTCCCGAATACAAGAACGGTCGTGCTGGTGTACTGCGTACTTCTGGTAACGGTGCCATGATTTGACTTAACAGCTTAGGATGACACCGAAAGCAAGTGACGCATTGACGAACTACTGCACGATCTAGATCACGACCCCGGAGTGGCCAGAATCGTTGACGTACCGTAGCAAGCAGAAGTGAAGGTCCACCGTGCAATGTTCAGAGGTGTATTGCTCACACGACCATTAAGCTCAGTTTGTGGTCGGACGGTAGCAAGATAGCGTAAACGACCATCGATTCGTAGCAACCCGAATTCGTCCATGAAAAGGTTCATATTTCAAAGAGGGGACTTTGGTCCAAGATTTGGTGGCGCCTGGGAATTCTTCTGGAGTGTACCTTTTGACCTCTGCCGAGAAGGAAGAACGTTGAGCGAGACGTGCTAGAGTTTTTAGCGCATGATCACATTCATCAGTCGACAGTGATCCAGTTGAGCGCTGCTTCTTTGGCAGCTTGCAGTTGTGGTAAAACCTGTAACAGTAGACAATACCTTTCAGCAGTTTGGCGAGCTCTGAATATCGGTCGAAGAGCTCTTGATCTACTGTGCTGATATGTAATGCGACGGCACGACGAGCCTCCTCGTTGAAGAATTGATCATCTGGTGTCGGAAATACTGATTCTGGCCATTGCTCCTTTGGGTATCGCATGAATGTGGGACCATGCCACCATAGATCGTATTTCACGATCTGACTTGCCAGCGTACCTCGCGAAATCCAGTCGGCCGGGTTTAAGTCCGTGGAAACATGTCTCCACTCGAATGCTTTTGTAAGTCGTTGAACCTAAGCCACACGATTGGAAACGAAAACTTTCCAGGTGTTGGATCTCGACATTAGCCAGTGTAGAACGATTGTGCTGTCGGTCTACATTGTTGCTGCCGCTGGTAGTCCTATGTAAAGTGTCCACGAGCTGACTTCCAAGTAGCGCAGCACAAAGATCCAGCCGTGGAATGGATTTTCCACGCAGTGGTGCAACACGAGATTTCGAAGTAAGAATGTGATTATGGAGCTCTCCCGTTTCGTCTGGCGAAACGACGTAAACACAGCACCCGTAACCTTTTATGGAAGCGTCACAGAAGCAGTGAAGATAATATTAACGAGAAGTGTTTGCAAGAATCCTTCTCGGAACTTGTAGGATCGATAGTTGCTGGAAGTCAGTTCGATAATTCATCCACCATTTTTGCAATTCGGTAGAGAGCTCCGTATCCCATGGCAAATGTTCCGCCCAGAGAGTTTGCACAAACATTTTGGCACACATTACGACAGACCCGAGCAGACCGATGGGGTCGAACAAGCGGACACAACTACCCTCTTGGTGATGACGGCATGCTCAAGAAGAGCTGGTATCTTGAACATGAGCTGGTCAGATTCAGGAAACCACAGAAGGCTTAGCGTCTTGACGGCAGTCGAACGATCGATTCCAACTATGTGGAGGTTTCCCATAACTCGGGAGGAACGTTCACTAGTGCCGCACTTGTCGTTGGCCGCTCATTTTCGCAATACGATGTGTAGATCATCGTGTCCAGTCAATACGTCGTCGACGTAGGTTCCCTTCCGAATGCCTGGCACTCGAGTTGCCAAGTACAGTGAGTACGAATTGGCTCGGATGGATCGTTTCTCCACAGAGTTTGCTCGTATCTGCAGGCTCTCCATGGCACGCATCCAATCGTCTCTGTCGTCTCGGTTTGCAATTTGACCAAAACGTTTCGGGAACATCTGAAGTTGCTCCGTAACTTACTAAGTAATCCAGTATCTTACCGGGAAATGGCGCTGCGCTGTAGAAGGCTCTGCATCTAAAAATTCTTAGCTCTTCGGTTTCATACCTAGCCACAACTCCGCGTGAGTCGATTTGTTCGGAAGGGGTGCTGTGGGGCATCGGTTAAGTAAATACTCACCTGTCAACGCTGCTTCGCACCACATCTGCTTCGGCATTCCAGAATCTAGGACTCCTAGACTAGGAGCATCACACGAACCTTCTCGATAAGCGTACGTTTGAATCTTTTTGCTACCCCATTTTACTGTAGGATGTACGCAACCGTCGTTTCAACTTGCACTCCTCTCTTCTTGTACCTAGGATTGGGCGATCTTCAGTGAAAGATCGATCTTGACGGATCGATCTTATATTTTCTCTAGAATTGATCCACTGATTATATCAGTATCAAAGAATCGGTCTTTGGTAGATCGATCTTTTGATTTTTGTTGAATACGCTTGTTCACGTTGGTATCCCAAGAAATTCTTTCCTCTATAATATTCAATTAAATAATGTCGCGACGGTAAGGAGCAATGAGCACAAGAGGGAGGTAGCACAATCCTTCAAATGTTGCCGTATTCGTAAATATCGGAAACTCAAACGTGACGTCATTGTAGGGAGTGTTTTGACGTTATGTTTTTTTTTTTAATTTACCACGCAGTCTGGGGTGAGAGTAAATCATTTTTTTCGATAACAAATTTAACATTTATTTTTTGAAGATCGAAAAGATCGAAAGAAGAGATCGACAAAGAATCGATCCGAAAAATCTGAAATCGGGATGAAAAAGATCGATTTTCCAAATATCGATCTGGAACGCCCAATCCTACTTGTACCATATCTTCTGCTCGATGGAACCGTACTCCGTGCCTTGATGTTTTGAAATCCTCTTGTCAAACGCCGCCGTGACCATCGCTTCATATTCCCGGAAATTGAGCTCGTGAGATCAAATTTTCTCTCTCATATTTGAATTCTCTTGGCTCTCTGGGAACGGATAAAACTGTAGCATTGGTCGATCTTGAAGCAAGAATCGATCTTAGTGAATCGATTTTTTTTTTGAAAATAATCGATTCACAGATTTAATCAATCATTTTTAATCGATCCATTTTTCAAAATGGCACAAACATGTTTCAAATATAATGGATCATAGAAAAGTTGGTGCAGGTTAACGCCACGTTTCTCTCTCAGATTTGATTTTTTTTTTGCTCTCTGAGGACGGATAGTAAAGCGGGTAAAACTGTATAGGGAAAATTATTTTTTATTGAATTGTAGCCTGTTTAACAACAATTTCCGGGAAATAAGTGAACGACAAAGTCCATTAATGATGTCTTTAAGCTGTCGTTCACTTTTTTACCTGAATATGTATAGGAAGTGAATTTTTCCCACTTCTCTCAATTTATATATGGGGATTTTTATCACTTCCTACCAGCGGAACAGTGCCATCTCTGTGGAAAATGGCCGGATGGTATGATTAATTGGCACAACGACGCCCTATACGCTCTCTGACCAAAGTACAGGGGTGTAGCTTGTGCATAGTAGGCCCAAAATTAGATCTAAGCGTTGTGTATTGCTATTATATTTTTACTGTTTTCTAGAACTTTGTTTCACATTTAAAATAGAAGAGACGTTTTGGTACTATAAATTATTGAAACGTGTAAATGAAAAATGAGTCAATAGTCAAATGTCTGATTAAAAAAAATTGTTCATTACGAATAATTGAGCAAAGTTTCATGAAAGTAAAAACAGATTGCACTTGATCTCCTTTGGTTTGTTTTTTCCGTCGATCTTGTTTTCCGTGCTGAGCACCAATGCTACCGACGTACCAGGAAGGCAGCTCTCCCACACTTGGACCCTACCTATCGACCCATCAACTCATGAACCGGGGACCAACGGCTTTACTTCCCATCCGAAAGAAGGCGTGATCAGAGATGTTATGCCTCAGAACATCCCGGCGGCGCCGACTGGGGTTGAACCCAGGCCTGCTGGAGTGAGAGGTAATCACGCTTACCACTACACCACCGGCGCCGTTAGATTGCACTTGATGTAATTCGTCACTTGACATGGGAATGCAGTTAGAAGTCAAGGAGGTCGTCACTGGAAGTGTAACTTGAAAATTTTCAAATTTTACTATCAAGAAATACTTGCCTCAATCGAAATGGATTGCCTCTCCCGAAAATTCAGGAAGAGGTCACGTTTTCCTTTCCCTAGCATACAGGCACACAGTCACACTGACGTGGGTTTTTTTTCCCATCAACTTGATGTGAACGTGACGAGAGAGAGTATGCCAATTCCATGTGTACCTAACGGAAATCAACATCCCGGTATGTCCAGCGACGGATACTGTGCAGGAATCTAAGATGGGGTGAATTTTGCTCCCAGCTCACCGTCCCACCGGTGACCCAAAATCTCAAACGTGCTTCTCACAGCCAGTGTGGCAGGTGAAAAGCTCAACGCTTCGTCGGATTGAAATTCAAGCATCATCCTTATAAATCAGAAGGTCGTCCCTGCGGTCCTCGACCATCCTCAACCGCGCCGCCGAAGCGTGATTGGAGTAGGAAACATCCTTTTCCACTTTCACTTTTCCACTTATGTTAGGTTTCAAGGGGAATATGTATGACGAAAGAGAGAGAGGAAGACAGCCCGCGGGAAGTGAGCACGACTGATTCCGAATTTGATTAAAAAATTTGATAAGCACTCCGGGGGTCTATTTCCTTTCCCCGTTCCGACCGTGTACCCGGTGATAGACTTTTGTTTTGTCTGTCCCTCTCTCTCTTGAAGAGGGATGATAGTAAACCGGCACTTGGGTATTGTTGAGACCGTACGCGGAATATGATGGAACTTGTTCGGGGAAATATCATCTTCTGCTCGTCAACGGTTTTCATTGCGTTTCCGTCACGGGTTCTGCATGTTTGAACTCGGAAACTTAATTTCAGAGCGGAAGTTGAGCTGCCATCTCCGTTGCGGTGGCCTCGTCGTCGGCGGAACCAGATATGCGGTATGAGTGAAATAGGACAACGATACGACACAATCTGAAGAGGCGCTTTGCTCCGACGTCCCAGAGGATGATTCCATGCGTGACTGCTGTTTTGTCATGCTTTTGTCTTGGGGGGAGATTGTCGCTCGAGGTGGATTCGTAGCTAATAAAAACTTAACCGGATGACATTGCGGTAAGAGCAATATTTGATTCGCGGTTTATTGCAGGGTTGAAGAGTTATGGAATATTTATTATATCTGCCGAAGAGGAGGAGCGGGATATGTTTCAAGTTGTATAAGTTAG